GCAAACATTTTGCATCTTGCTTTTTAACATAAAAAAAACCAACAGAAAAAAGGCAGCTCTGTTTATGACCTCCTTTTCATGGTTTCTTTTATCCCTGTTTTTGTTCATTCTGTGTTTTTTTTTCCTGGGGGTGTGCTGTGAGGTTTTCTTGCTGTAGGGTTGGTTGTTTTTTTTTTTTAATTTATGGTGTTTAATTCTGTTTGGGACATTGTTGCAGGCACCAGTGTCCTTGAGTTCACATTCAGTTTAAGGCCAACTTCTAAGGTGTTTACACTGGAGAGGCAAATGGGGAACTGTACCTGCTAATACCATGGCTTTCCTTGCTGGGTCAGGGCAGTGCTGAAGAGCCACAGAGTGTCCCTGCCTTGAAGGAGAGGCTGGGCTGAGCATCCAAGAAAGAGCAAACAGCAGAAAGTTAACCCTGTGGGTGTTAGTCTGCAGAGAATTGCTTCATAATACTTTTTTTTTTTTCACAATTCTTATTTTTATATGACTCTGCGTTGTCTAGTCAGAGCTAGGCCAGGGTACTTTGTGTGGAGGTGTGGGTACTGGGGGAAAACTGGAGCAATCTGGAAGGCTGGCAGAGCAATGCAAGCAAGACTTCCCCCTCACTGTCCCAAGGAACCATATGTGATGTTCTGCCCTTCTATCTGCCACAGCCAACTCCCTTGTGCTGTGTGAGGAAGGTACTACACCCACCGTATGGGGTCCAGGAAGGCTGGAAATGAGGGTCTCTGCAGCATACAGCCACATAATGAGGCTGGATGGGTGAGAGTTAGATTTGTGGGTGGGCCATCAGGCTGATCTGGGGATTTCTGGTATAAAGGAGCAATGGAAGATCTGTTCATGTCTGGCAGTCTTGGACTTTGCCTGCTGCGATGCAGAAGTCTCTGTGACTAGGCTGTGTATGGCTTGGTAGAAACATTGTAGTAGCTGTTTTATCTCAGCTTTGATTATTGAGTGTATTTGTAGCACGCTGATCATTGTGTTTGCCTGAGCCCTGTGGGGGCTCCTGGGGACCAGACTCCCTTCCCATCTGTCTCACTGAAACATTTGTCAGTCCCAGGAAGGTTAGTTCAGAATAATCCACTAAAGAGACTGGGGTCTATATTCTAGACAGATTCTCCATCATAGTCTATTGCATGAGACCTGAGGGTGAAAATAACTTCATGCATTACCTTCCTAGTGCCCTCTGGGACAAAAAAAACCTTGCTTTTTGTTGGAATAACACTATTTACACAGCTTGTTCCCCTTGCTCCTCTTTCTCATGCTGCAGAGCACGATCAGAAGAATAAAATGGCGTTATTTTAGGGCTACACTGGAGCGTATGGAAGATGTATGGGATTTAAACAATGGATCTTTATGGGAAGAGTAGCATCTTTCAGGATAGCAGGAGTAACAATATAAAGACACCTCCAAAGCAGACAATCTTGCCAGCAAGGGCTGAGACCCCAGGATCTGGCCATGGGGCTCACTCGTGCCTCATCCCTCCAACTTTAAGGTGAGCTGGCTGGAAATGTGCAGATCCTTGTTTTTGCCAAAACCCAACTGCCTTCTTGCTTAGGTTGCAAATCCCTGGAGGATGTGGCTCATGGGAAACTGAGATATATTCAGAGCCTGGATGTTGCTACAGTGCTGTTACTAAGTTTTTTGAGGCTATTTCGGAAAGACAAATGCAGTTGTTGTCAAATGTGTTTGAATTCTGGTGTAATAGGGTGAATACATCATAGGTTGTCTGGGACAGCAAGGGATTCATCAGCTGTGCTGGGATCAATGAAGATGAGCCCTGTTTTTGTTGCTTGACCAAGCACAAAGGTGTCAAATTAGAAATAGCAGTTCAAAGAGGAAACTGAGGCATTTCTTAGGCTGAAACCCTGCTTGGCCAACTTTCCAGCCCAAGTTCCTAATCCCATGTGCTGTCCTGTGCTTGGCTATTCTACCTACCCATCAGGGATGTCAGCTGCAAAGGCTCCTGGAATGAGAGGGTTTGGGAATGTCCTGCACCTGGGAGTGTAATTTGTGTTTACTTCTCTTAAGGCTTCATGCTCAAGGCATGAAACAGTTTTTCCTCTGCTAGCATATGTGTCAACATGACTGATATTTCATAATAACAACAAAAAAAGTGCTTGTTTAACTTGTTTCCCTCAATCTTTCGCCCCCCACACTTTAAGCTTTGAGTGGATCCTAGAATCATGAGGAGAAATGAGAAAGACTTATTCTTTCATTATGAATTTATTGAGGAGCAAGAAGAGCACATAGCTTAGGTATAGAATGATTCAGGTATCACTTGACATTAAAGAACAAAAAATTCCAGGTAGACTCCAGAAGACTCAAGTGTTATGAATCCAGTGATAGGCTATGGATCACTGGAAAAAAAGGCATATTCCTTCTGTTTGGTCTTTATTCCATGGTTGTAACAAAATCTATACCGGTGGAGGCTCCAGACAGGCCCCAGGGAAGATTGAAGACGTTGAGTGATGTAACCACGTAATATGTGATGCATATGAAAGTCTTCCTCAGCCTGTGTTAGAAATGGAGTCTCCATAGCTTGTTACAAAACAATGTTTACACGCCTATCTGTTCTGCCTTGTGCAAGTTTCATCCTAAGATGGGAATGTTGGTATCGGATACTTTCTACCTGCAGCTGTATATATTAGAACCAAAAAAGTGGGCTACAGTGTGCATTTAGAGCTAAAATTACCACTAGAGGGTCTAGTGACTTCTTGAAAATAGTGAGTTTTAAAGAAGAATAGCATTAGAACCACCATGTGAGAATTACTTCCTTCAGAATCATTGTAGCAGGCAAGCAGCTCACTTGGCTTGGATAGCTTTAGTAGTCTGTAGATTTCGTGAAACTGGTTTGTTAATAATCATAATCTAAATAATTTTTCACGGTGAATTCGGCACAAGCGACCATGACGTGATCTTCATTAGTCAGCTTTGCTAAAACAATGTAATCTCCCTGTATGAGACAAACACAAAGCAAGAGATTAGCCCATCAGTAGTACATAAGTGTTAATGTTTCTATGAAATAATCCTCTTCCTAGAAACAGAATTACACTTTTCCCAATCAAATTCCTCCAAAACCTTTCCTGTCAATGTTTCGGAACTGCTAAACGACTTGCCCGTATTTTCTGCCAAAATAGTCTCATCAGGGATATTGGCGCTGACAGCACAAGTTCAAAATTAAAACGGTGCAAGGGGAACAAAATGTTTTGATGCTTAAAAATGCCTTTCAAATCTGTGTAACTTTTTGTGCTTCTTCTGAGCAAGCACAATATGGCCTGTACTGTTTAGTAACTGGAAGGAGAAGAGGTGCTCAGGTGTCTGGCACTTCTCTTCCTTGGATCTTGTTCAGCGTGTATGCTGTTGTCACAATGAATTTTTATAAGAGAGCACCTTGAAGGATATGTATGTATAGATGACTCAATCTGTGGTTAATTCTTATGTAATAAAACAAGGGGTAGTTTAATTTCAATTTGTGTAGCTAAAACTAATAATTCATGAGTCGTGTGGTATTTTTGTGTGTTTTTGTGGTGGTGTTTTGTTCTTTACTGGTCTAAACTGCAGAAATGTGTTGATGTGATTGCTCGTAGTCCTGTGACCCGAAAAGCCCTTCTGCCTGGGTGCAGAGCTGTGACCACCTTACCTGTGGGATTTCTTTGAGTCCCAGTGTGACTGGTCCCTCATAGTAGAGGTGTTCTGAAAAGCAAAAATGGCGATGGGTGGTTAGACATGCAGCACACGAAGGAAACAAGCAGCTGATCGTAGATGCTTTTTCATAATAGCACTTCAAAGTGCTCCAGTGACAAGCGTTACGGAACTGCAAAGTGCTCTACACACAGTCTTGCAACAGCCCTCCAGGGAGAGATGTGAGGGTGTTGCTGCCTTATGGGGAAAGCAGGGCAGGGCCTGGATTCGAGGAGGACCTGCAGCCCCTGTCTGAGTGGAGGAGAGGGGCACAGCTTTACACCACTGGGTGGCTGTTCCCACGTCAGCGTGCCTCCTGCAAATGGGGAAATGAAAGGGGAGGGGGATTGCCAGGCGCAAGCCCTTTAGCATGATCTGTTAAACACCTGCAGCTACAATAGCTGAACTGTGCGGTTTTGGTAACTTTAAGAAAAAACAATCTGAGCTGAGTGTTTCCGTAGGTGTGGACTTAGGACTGCTTGCTGAACATGACCTTAAAGTAACGAGAAAATGTCTGTCTTGCTGCTGAGGAGTCCCCACCAAGAAGTTACATGTACTAGAGCCATCATAAGTTCTGCTGGTGACTGAAATAGAATCCAGGAGTTCCACCTTCTGATCCTCATCTCCCTAGTCATGAGGCGTGCTTGCTCTTTGAAGAAAGGGCAACTTTGGCATTAATGGACAGAATTAGCAAGCTGTTCTGCAGTTCCTCCTACTTTTTCGTAGCTCACTAGGTCATACTGCAGACTTGACTAAAAAAAAAAAGGTATACATGTTTCAATATTTCAGAATTTCTTGCAGAACTTGCCCTCCACAACTCATGGAAATGTCTAAGAACTGTTTAAGGATTCTCTTTTTTTAGGTGTCATGAAATAGTCCTTACTTTGACAGTGACAGAGGAGTAAGTGTTTCATCATATTTATGAGTATGTGCTGGCATCTTGATGCTTGTTGCTTTATATAGACTTGATTTAGTCCAGCCTCACTGTACTGGTTTAAACTGTTTCTTGTGAAAGGCTGGACAAAAAGTTTGCAATGTGTTTCTTGTATGGTCCCTCCCACCATGCAGCAGGTATCTGAATTGGAAAAGTCTATGGAAGGTGTTACCTACACATGCAATAAAATATTAGCTAGTGCCTTGTGGCAAACTTGTAGTCAAAACTAGGAAAAGAATAGGAGAAACCTGGGATATTGCCAGTGTTCTACACTTTTGCATTAATGAGGAGTTTATTAAACATAATGCTCTAATGATCCTTGGAGGTGGAGACGATGCAGCACTTCTCAGTGTTGCCCTGGAAAAAAACTACTACTTATTCTATTTGCTGTTTTGGTATGTTTTGGCTTGTCACTCTTGAACTGATCAACCGTGCTGCAGCTCTCGTACTGTACTTATTGCCCTCTGCATCCCTGGCTACTTCACCTGGACACCAAGGAGTCTTTCTTTTTCACAGAGCAGTCGTTATTGCTGCTTGCTTCTGTGCACGAAGCAAGAGCCCTGAAGTCTGACACATCTTTGCTGCAGAGAGCGTGACTCAAGAATTTTAAAAATACAGTGCAGCCTACTTCTCTGTTTGCAACTTTAATAGAGTGTAAATGGGAGTTAAAGGCACTGCAGACTGCATGGCTTGAGCTGTGTGTGTGTGTTGATGTGTGCTAAGCATATTGCGAGCTGCCCCCTCAGGGTGGTGCGAACCATGCAGTGGTGTTGCTCACGGCTTGCGTGTCCTCTTGTTCAGTAGGGAGCCTTGTTTGACTGTCTCTCCTTCAGTCACCTCTGAGCCTAGCAAATCTTGGATAGCAGCAGGTGAAAGTGGAGAGGAAACTGGGCTGTGAAAGATCACCCTTCCTCAAAGTCCTCTTCCACAGGGCCATGGAAACTCCTCTTGGATCATGGGGCTTGTCAGTCTCACCTAGGCTGTTGGAAAACCATCCAGAATTTAAACATGCAAACACAGCATTCAAGCTTTGCAAAGCCTATATTTTGAAATGAAGTAGGAGTCACCAGGCCATAAATTTGTTTCTGAAATGAGGGCAATGCTAATCTCCTTCAGTGTAGGTAGAAGCTATTTTTTCCCCTCCTCTTTGCTGTGCCAAAGTAATGATTATATCAGAGCTAGATGAATGCAGTCTTAGGGCTCTGCCTCAGCCATGTCTGAAGTTTTCTGCGATTACTCTGGTATGTGGTAGCTCTGCCTTTGCTCAGTAATCAATGGAATCACTCTCATGGGCTGTACTATTTTTTTTTTTTAGGGAGCCTTCAGCTGTGGAGCTAGGTGCTGTGTGTCCAGCATAAGGTCTGTGTTTACCGATTTGTTCTTCAGCGTTGCCTTATTTAGGTCTTTCTAACCACAGATCTTACTGTGGTTCACAGTTATTAATCATAAAATATTAAAGGTTGGGGAAGAGTGACTGGAAAAGATGCCTGGCAGAAATGGATCTGGAGGTGCTGGCTGAACATGAGCCAGCAGTGTGCCCAGGTGGCCAAGAAGACCAACGGCATCCTGGCTTGTATCAAAAAATAGTGTGGCCAGCAGGAGCAGGGAAATGACCATGCCCCTGTACTCAGCACTGGTGAGGCCACAGCTTAAATCCTGTGTTCAGTTCTGGGCACTGCAGTATAAGACATTGAGCTGCTGCAGCAGGTCCAGAGAAGGGCAACAAAGCTCGTGAAGGGTCTGGAGAACAAGTGTTATGAGGAGTGGCTGAGGGAGCTGGGGTTGTTTAGCCTGGAGAAGAGGAGGCTGAGGGGAGACCTCATTGCTCTCTACAACTACCTGACAGGAGGTTGTAGTGAGTAGAGGTCAGTCTCTTCTCCGGAGTAAGAAATGATAGGACAAGAAGAAATGGACTCAAGCTGCACCAAGAGAAGTTTAGACTGGGTATTAGGAAGAATTATTTACTGAAAGCATACTGAAGCATTAGAACAAGCTGCCCAGGGCAGTAGTGGAGTCACCATCCCTGGAAGCGTTCAAAAAACATGTAGGTGTGATGTTTGGGACACAGTTTAATAATCATGATAGTGTTGTGTTGACAGTTGGACTTGACATTCTTAGAGGTCTTTTCTAACCTTAATCATTCTATGATCATGTGGAGCTACTGGAAAGAGACCAGTAGCCACTGATATTATTAAGCAACTGGAACATCTCTCCAATGAGGAGAGGATGAGGAAGATGGGACTCTTCAGCCTAGAGAACAGAAAGATTAGGTGAGAGCACATCAATATGTATAAATACCTGAAGGGTATGGAGGACAAAGCCAGACTCTTTTTAGTGGTGCCAAGTTACAGGACAAGAGGCAGTGGGCACAAATTGAAATGCAGGAAGTTTCTCCTGAACATCACAAAGACTTTTTTTATCACTGACAGAGGTTGCCCAGGGAGGCTGTGGACTCTGCATCCTTGGATATTTTAAACAAGCCTGACTGGACATTGTCCTGGGCAACTTGGCTGTAGGTGGCCCTGCTTAAGTAGGTGAGAGTTGGACTAAATCACCTTCAGAGACCCTTTCCAACTTCAAACATTCTGTGGTTCTGTAACCAGCCCTCTAGAAAACTCCTGTGAATTCTTTGCTTCTGTGATGGGAGGGAAAGGATTATGCTGCTTTGAAAGTACATCTTAATAGGAAAGCAAGGGCAGCTTTCACTTTCAGGTGGTTGAGATCTGCCAGGAAATAATATGAACCCATAGATCTACTGAAATTTATCATTCATATTCACTTTGGTCCATGGCAAGCTCCTCAGTGCCTATGCTGGCTAGATCAGACTTTTCAGAGCTTGTTCAACATTCCCCTTGCATGAGGTTTTCTGCTACAATTCCATAAGTGTAAACATCCTGCAAGGCTTTAAGGACTTAGTTTATCGCAGCATCCCTCATATACATTTTTCTCCATATATTCATACATTTTTACATTTCTCCATTGAAAGAGAATGAACACATCTGCTGCAGTAAGTCTGTCACAAACGCTGAGCCTAGCTCACTGAAAGAATGCTCTCCAGATGTATTAGCGAAAAATGCACAAACATTGGGAACAGTGTAAGTCACAAGTGCTTTTTTTCCAATAAAAAAAGTCTTTCTTGGTCTACTGGTAAGTTATGGTGTCTATAAAACATACTGCCATCAGTGATGTGCTTTCAGTCCACCTTCTGTTTTCAGCCCTTTTCCTTAAAGACTTAACTGAAGGTGATTTCTGTAGAGTATCCTGGAAAACATTTCTGACATGCTGCTTATAAAAGGTGATATTACTGTACTTATTGTAGCAGCTTTTCACTGTTGTTTCTACTGAAAGCAACTTAGTCTTTTTTCCTGCTAGTGAGCAGGCCCCTGGTGGCTCTGAAGTGCAGCTTTCATATGTGTAAGAACTTCCTGAGGATTGCTTCAAGTTACTAGTTACCATTTATCGTGAAGATGCCTCTCATCCCTGACAAAACACCTATAATGAAATTCTCACTTCTCTTTCTCAAATCTTCCTTGCACTGAAACTCTTTAGACATTCTCACACTCTCATACTATATAAAGGCCCTGTACATCTGCACCCACCTCTTCCTTTTTCTATGTTTTACATCTTTTTAGTTCTTAAATGCTACATGTTGGAGTTCTTCTAGGACATGATCGTGCACCCATACAACTGACATGCAACTTCTGTGAGTTTTAGGGATGCAGGAGTGATCTGAATAACCGCCAGCCTATGGATGTATAGTCAAGTGAGAAAAACACATAGAAATACATATATGGGTATGTGGGTGAGAAACATCCACTCTCTTTACACGGGAGGAAAAAAATGAGATGGGCTAAGCAAGATGCTGTTGAGTATCAGCCCAAAGACTTAGCTTTGTGGTGTAGCTGCTTTCTCAGAAACACGCACGTAAGCTCTCAATGCGATGCCCAGTTCTGTGATTCACGTTACATCTTCTACTTTTGTATGCTAATACTATTTTGGGAACTTGCTCGCTAACACCTACTGAAAGAGACAATAATGTAAAGAATGGCGGTCTGAAGGGAGAGGGGTTTCTCTCTGGTTTGGGAGCGTGCACAAGGAGTCGTGCAAGTGCTCTGATGGTGCTTTTGTCAGTTGGGCGTAAACTTTTTCAGATTTGCAGAGGATGCAACTATATTTTGTCAGGAAGCTTTGTTTTAAGCCTGCAAGTTGCAGTTGGCGCATTGCTAAATATTACTCTGGCAGGTCTTTTTGTCTGATTTTAGTGATTGCATTGGGAAATCTGTTAAATCTTATGTAACTGTTTTCTTCGTAGGAAATGGGGAATAACCAGCACTTTCTACTAAAAAAAGAGGAAGATCTGAGTTCCTGGTATGCCACAAAATCTAGCAGCTTTGTTTCTATTGTTCTTAAATGGACAATGTTCTGTTTCTTTGCCACATTTGAGCTTTCAACTTCATAACAGGCATATAGCTCAAAGAAAATTCTATTGAGTCTCAGTAAGCAGTGCCAGATGTGACCTTGGCTTAACATAAATAGTAAATACTGTATGATTTTGACAAACATGAAACCTCCAGCTAATTCTCCTAAAAAACTTCCAGTCATGGCAAAACTGCAGTGTTATAGCAGGGAAAAGTAAAACAACCCAAACACCCAAGATTTTGCCACATCTGGCTCTCCTAAGTCCCTTTTCCTTGTCAATTCTGCTCTGCACATCCACATGAGTGAGTGGACCAGCAAAGCTCGTAGCAGAATTAAGTTCTGTCTCATTTTGGGAGAGGGAGAAACAGGTAATTTTTGGCATCCTTGTGGAAGGCAAGAAAATTCCATGCAGAACTATATTTGAACACAGGTCAGATCTGGCCAGATGTTGAAAGTGTTACCTGTACAGCAGGGGGAAAAAGGGGATCTGCATGAAAAGCTTCAGCTGAAAGTGCTCTCTGCTGCTTTGTACCTTTGCTAGGCTGTGTACTTGGCCAGTCGCAATGCTGCCCTTTCTGCACGGGTATTAGGTCTGACTTAACAGCAGTGCTAATGTGGTAAATTGTGGCTCTACTGAATTGCCTCAAACAGGTCTTCTACTCAACTCTGCATCTTAAAACACAGGTTAAATCAAATGTCAACTAATTAAGAAATACCACATTTTCAGTTTGAACCTCAGTCTGAGAAAGTTCACTTCTTTCCCACTGTGATTTAATTACTAAATAAAACCACTTAACAAAAACTACTGAACAAGGGGATGTGTATTAAAGTGTGTGGCAGAGGTCCTTGCACTAACTTAGAGATGCTTCTAAATGAAGATATATAGTGTTATTTAAGCAACCAACTATGGCTTTATATCATAATGTACTTCAATTAGTAGAAACAATCACCTGTCAGTTTAAGATTAAGTGACTTGAAAACCCCAAGAGGTTTTGGCTTTGTGGCTTAATGTGTGAATAGCAGTTTTTTGCTCAGCCCAGGACTGACTCTACTTCTCCGTAATGTATTCTCTAAAGAATGTTATTTAGTACTTCACCAGAGTAAGATAATTTTTCAGTAAGTCTGTGGGTGATTTTTTTTTCCCCATTCATTGTAATTCAATTGAGGAAACCTCTGAATTAATTTTTTGTCTATGTAGCTTACAGGATTTACGTAATTAGTTGCTCATGTAGCATTTCTCTATTATTCTTTGTGAAATTTCTATGCTGTATGAAGTGTCACAGTAATTTTCCAGGGGCTGACTTAGCAGCAGTGCTATGCATGATCTTTAAACTCATAACCCTCACACATGAATTATTGTGGTGTTATGAGGATGAAGATGGAAGTAAAGGAAGGCAGAGCCTCAGAAACTAACTGGTCCTCTAAACTCTGAAATTTGCCTGCAGCTCTACCTGTTTATTTCAGAATAGACCTAGAGAGATGATTGTGATGCAAGAGGGATTTCAAAATAACTGTTTAAAAGATGTGGATATTACAGTACAAGAAGCATGATCGTAGCTCTTCCAGACACACAATGACTAGCTGTTCACTACCTGGGCTGGGTTGTGGTACGAGGGACCTTGAAGTGCCCAGGTGCACCTGGGACCGAAGATACCTGCTTTCTGGGGGAAGCTAATGCCACTGTAAACTAATTGGTGCAAGTCTGTGCCAGCTGGCAATTTTAGTGGCATGAACTGAAATCATCCAACTGCTGCAATAGGCATGTGTTGAGTAGAAACAAGTTGCAAACCATAGATGGCATCAGATAGAATCTTGGTACAAATATCCTTATTCAAGCATAATTCTTAAAGTGAGTTAAGAACTGCCCTTGAGGATAGGAAGTATTACTTGCTTAATAGTGAAGAACATGTTCAGAATGGCTTGTTTGTTTGATTATTCATTTCTTTTGCAGAACTGGTCTTTATTTTTCTCATACTTCTTGCTCACATGACAATCACGTGGCTATAAATAAAGCTTATGGACCTCTCTGCTGTTGGATGGGGTCACATTACGACAGCTGTTTTTCATAGACTTGAAATCCCATGTGTGTGCAGTATTCTGTGATTAAAAGAAAAGCAAGCAAACAGGTTAGGGGAAAAAGCAGGCTCTGAAATTAAAATGTCTCTGTCCTACTATGTTCCTGTCATCTGTTAACATGCTATTGAAGTAAACAGAACATTGCGATGTATTGGTGCGTTCAACAGCACAGCGGGTGCATCCTGCTTGGAGCATTCAGTAGCCGTCAAACACTTAGAGTGCCACCTAAATTACCTCCTTTCTTCTTTCCACAGAAAATAAGCTTAGAATGACCGGGCTCGCAAAGCGCCTCTGAATAGGTTAAGACGGTCTTCCCATTCATGATGAGGTCAACTTTGACATACAGTTCTTTGATGCTGTGTCCTGCAAACAATGCAGAAAGAGAGCTCAGAGAAAGTATAAGAATAAATAAGCTTGTTACTTCATTTTCACGGTTTCTTTTTCTTTCCTTCCCCTGCTGCTGTTTAAGTTGTTGAATGTTTTCACTGCAAATTTCTAATATGTAGAAATCTATGCTTCAAAACCAGGTCTCTAAGTCCATTAGGGTATATAATAGGTGATGTAATAGCATATATCTTTATTATTAAATAGACTATGCCCATGACTATTTTCTGACTTTGAGGCGAATTGGCATAGTAAATCTTGTGTCCATACACCTGAACTTCCTTTCCTACTGTCACTAGCAGCGGGACCATACCCAGTGGGCCCCCCAGGAGCAGCCTGAGGCCTGTACAGCAAAGCAGCTTGGCGGTGCTGGGAGGTTGCCTGCTTGTACCTGGCTTGCTAACAGCAATATAGCCAGAGAGGCTACTGGATTTAGAGGGAGGTCCTGTACTCAGCGTTGTTGGAAAAGGATTTGCAAATGCCTGTTACATGATTTTGCAGACTTGTTTAATTTTGCAGCCACCTGGAAACTGATGCTCCTCAGGCTAAAGGGCAACATATCTCACTTTTTGCACACAAGGAAGCACCTTCAAGTGTTAAAAGACACTGGACACACATTATGTTCGTCACTGGAAGCATATAGCAGAACTTCTGTGAACTTGGGGCCAACAGGGTTGCAAGAAGGTGGCTTTCCTGTGTGAGTATCACAAAGCAAGCTATGGTTAATGTTAACTCATGCACCCAGCCCTTTAGCTCAGATGCAGTTCTGCTTTTGCCCTGTTGTTGCTGATCAGTCAAGTGCTGAAGGGTATAATTTCAGCTAGTGCAGGTGGTGAGCTGGTGGCATGACTGTGTTTCCTGAGGCTAGCACTGTCCCAACATGCTTCTGTGCATGCCAAGGAAAAGGGGGACATAGGTGCCCCCACCTTGCTCTGTGAGAGTCCCTTCAGTGTCTTACCTGCAAGGGTCGGCCTTGGCAATCTGGAGTGTGCAGGTCATGCTGACACAGGAGTGTGGGTGCCGTAGCCATCTCATTCAATAAGACTCTCTCCAGACAACTTAGGTGTGAAGACAAGCTCTAGAGCAGACCCCACCTTGGCTACTCTATGTACAAATGTAGAGTGGGAGAGGAATAGGATCTGAGGGGCTGGTATGACCTGCTTAGGCTGGCTTATGTTGTCTGAGGCTGAAATAACAGGATTGACATTTCTGTAGCCCTGCACAGGTTTTGAAATTTTTCAGAAATGAAGCCTGTTCATATTTTAGAGAAGGCTGTCACCCTTGTTTACTTCTTAATACCAGCACTCATACATGCATTACCTGTTTATGGCATGAGAGAATAGCAATTCACTTACTTAGGATCATTGCAGCTCTGATGTTAAAGGTGTGCGTTGTGATGTCAGAACAACGGTCAATGCTGAAAGCAAAATCTTGCTGGGGATCTGTTTGGAGACAGAAAATAGTAGGTAATAGATTGTATTTTTAATGGGATACTGATTGTATAGAAGAAAACACTAAAGTACAGAATTGTTATAAAAAACAGATTAAGTATTCCTTAAAAATTCTCCAAAATGTGCTCAGCACTGTGTTTAATAGCTCCTTCTGTCCCTCCTGCCACTTCAGTCTGAAGCATGTTCAGGTGATAGCCTATATGTGGTTAAAATCTTCTGTGTTGGGAAAATGAGCCAGCTTCAGGGAAAGCAAATTCCCCATGGTGGTGGCTAGTCAATACTCATTCAGCAGTGAAATCTTAGCACTACTGTTCTTCCCAGGCTCTGCGCATCCCCATTCCCGCCTCAGCACTGATGAGCAATTGGTTATGATGATTTTTTTTTAATTCATTTGCATTTCAAGATGGTTTAGTGAGACTGAATCTTGAAATGGGATGACAAGTCCAAAAATGGGAAAAAAATGGTGTAACTAAGATCCTGCTGTATTTCATGCTGGACCCACCACTGTGTGATATTTCTAGAACAGGAAATATTCTACATTTAAGACTTTAGCAGACCTGGGCTCCAAGAAAGTCCTACAGCTAATGACTGGTGTGAATGTGACTCTCGGCATTTCCTACGGTACCCTTTTCTCTGAGTCAAGCTCCGTAGCTCTGGTACAGACATAATGGCTTTCCTCCACAATTCCACCTTCTTCCTTGTGAGCGTCCACGAGACTCCATGCGATGCCTGATGGATTGCCAACATGTCACCCTCTGGTGACAATTGGCAGCGGCAGCTGACAGCTCAGTTGCCACAACCAACAGCACATGCAAGTGTTTCCCAGAGCTGTGGCTGGAGACTGAAAGATCTGGCCAGTTTGGAAGCATATCATCTTGAGCCTCAAGACTTGCTTTAGGGATAGGTTCGTCCCTCGTGGTGGTTTTCCAGCCAGACTGTCCATCCAACTTCTCCTGTGGAAACCAGAGAAGTGACTGTGACATGTGCAAAAGCAGCCATAGGCTGCCTGGTTTACATAGAGCTGGTGGTGACAAAATACGGGTTTTGTAGTTGAATTCTGTTTTATTGTTGCTTGAGATAATCTTCTCGCTGAATTGAAAATCATGGGTTGGGAGAATTTCCCTTTCATGCTGTGGTGAAACTTGAGTCATGGGTGTCCTCTGTAAGGCTGAGCTGTCATCTCCATACTCTGACCCGACTTTTTGCAGCTGAGGGGGACACCACTGTAACAGCTGGCAGGGAGCAAGCCCAGGTGACCAAAGCATGGAGAACGTGAAATGAACACAAGTGCTGGGAGGAGCTGGAGGCTCTAAGCCAGGCTCTGCAGGCATGTGGATTGTTAGTGTGGTCCAAAAGGAGCTCCCAAGTCTCAATTTCTGGTAAATTAAAGTAACTGCTTGAAGGAGGGGGATAAAAGGCACAGGTATTTCTTACAGTTCTGTGTGTCACTGCTGCATTTTGTCCTCCACAGCACTAAAGCAGTGTCTTCAAGTGAATGATCTGCTTGGGACAAAAAGGTAGTGCCTGAAGTTTACTGGATCAAGTGTGACAAGAGTCAGATGATCGTCTTTCCTCCCTTTCTGCATCCCTGTCAGTTCTCGCTTTGTTATTGTGGCTTCAGAAGCTGTTGCAATCGGGTGGGAGAACGATTTCCTGCTCCAGCTGGAAAACATGCCAAACTTCTCTTTTTCTCCAGGACCGTTATGCCTGCTTCCTCTCTGATCTCTACTGCCTCTTGGGGCTTGGTTTCCTCTTTCCTCTGGACTTCTGCAAGAGCCCCTTTCATTTCCGTTTCATGTGTGTTGCAATGATAAAGTTCAGGACGCAGCTGCTCAGGTTTAGAGGACTTGGACACTGATGCCCACAAACAGTGCTTGTTGTCAAATGGCTAAAATTGTCGGCCCTGTAATTTCCGGGGAGACTCATGGTCGAAAATGGGACTGCAACATATACAATGCTCTTCTCTTTTCCAAGGGGCTAGGCTGTACTTTAGTCAACAAATTGTAGTATTAGGGCTGGAAGTTGAATTTTTAGTTTAAAATCTCTTATTGATGACTTGGATGGAAAGGGGATGTTTATGAAGTGGGGCTTCTCTGGAAAGCACGAGCTTCTTACAATGAACCTGACCTCACGGTCGTTTAAGTTTGGATTTCTTGCACCTCTGTGGTTTTTGTTGTTGTTGTTTGTTTGTTTGTTTTTTCTGTGTGTTGAGATCTTTTGCCATATGACATTTTGTGGTACGTTGTAGCCGTGAGTATCTTGTACTGTGCCACTGGTGGCGCAGCATAGGACTCTGGTGTATTCATAGAAGTGTTGTCTGGTCCACAGAGAGGAAGAAATGAGAAATTCCAACAAAATCTGTTAATCGGAGGACTTGGATTTTTTCTTGATATTCTGTTGCAAGAAATGGAAACTTTTCCACTGACATAAGAAACCTCAATTAATTTTCTGCCCATCTCCCTCTAGAAATTCAGTCTATGACTTTGCAATCTAAGTTCTCAGATATTGTGGTGTGTGTGGGGGCCTCATGCTGAAATCAATTGAAAGGATGTCTGGTTGCTAAATCTATGGTGCCAGGGAGTCTGGATTCCAAAACATGTAGGCAGAAAGGTTGCTGCTAAAAGGAAATTCAAGAAAATAGCGGATTTTAACCATTTGATAAGTGAAGATGTCTGTAAATTCAGCTGTGCACTATGAACTGAGGTACCGTGCCATAGTGTGGCAAAAGGCAACCTGAGGCAATTGCTGGTTTTATTTAATCTTGGATGCACAACTGTGAGTCACTGTGTGTTTCTCATGGAGGTTTAATACTTATTCTTCCTTGTTTGCCTCAGTCCCAAGTGAGCTGGTTAGACTGAAAAAAATACGTGTTATGTCTTTCACATGTGCAGAGCAATAACATTTACCGTTAAATCTCTAAAATACGTGGGGCTGCCCTTCAGCCTTCCACTTCCCTGCAACATTTCATGGTGCATGGTACTGTATGTTCCCAGACTTCCCTCCGCCCACTCCCTTCAATCTGCTCCATCTTCCATAATTAAAGCTAGAAATTCTTCAACTGGTTACAGAGTTTTGCTTTTCCAGTTCAGCTTTGATATATTACCAACACACAAAACGTTGCTGGAAGTTTTGCAAACATGCTGAGGTTTATTGGTGAAAATCTGCTTATTGAGGGGGGAGAAGAGCATTTTTTGGTGCCTCTCTATCTAGCAAGAAGGATTTGGGCTGTAAATGTTTATATCTAGCATGAAGGTATCTTGGAGCAGGATTTTGACTGAGGTTTCTCTCTAGACTGTTCTAAATCTTTACAGCTCTGACAAAGAGGCAAGTCTGTGGCTTTTGTAAACAATGCACTGCAAGATCTCTCAGACCTGTTATTTGAACTCGATGCTGTAGCTTTAATGCTGACCTCTCAACTGTATCTAGCACTGAACGTACAGCTTGCAGGGAAGACTGGCTCCTGTAGTACAGTCCTGCTTTGTGAGAGAGAAATTTGGGATGTACCTGGTGTCTTGCCCCTTACATGGCACGTTGCCACCTGACTGCACGTGTCCCACCTCCCATTTCAGCCTTACTTGAGTAGAGGTTTATTGCTCTATTGACTTGGTATGTGGTTTTCCTTGCATATGACTTATAGGGCACCTACAGTGTGAGATTTCAGCCTGGCTTACTCTTGCGAGAGGCTCATAGCGGTGAATTTGGCTGAGTTTTTCTAAAAGACTGAGCAGGTGTGTGTAGTGCAGCCTAGAAGCTCCAACGAGTTTCTTCCTAGAGTTTCTTTTCCTGCTCTTGCTCTTGGCAGAAGGTTTATAAGTAAATCAGCCCAGACGTGTTTACAGTGGTGCATTTGTGACCCTCCTGGTTGCAAGCCTTGTACCTTTGGAGATTATTACCCCAGTAACAGGGACGACAGATGCTTTCATGCCTCAGTTGCTGCAGTTGTGGGGCCACCAACTCAAGCTCCTGCCGATCCTTGGTGCGCATCAAGCTACAGGGTTGTGAGTTGGGGCTGCCCTTACACCCCACAGCCTCCTGTGCTCCAGGAGGTGATCTCCAGATGGAAGATGAAGCAAACAGCTGGGAACTATAATGTGCTAAGCTGCTATGGCCATGTTCCTCAGAGCCTGAGCTGCTAGAAGACTAACTGGGCATTACAGAAACTGCATGGCCAGATGGGAAGCACCTGGAATTTTAAGGAATTTTGCTGGGCTAGCGTATAGCAGCCGCTGTCTTTTATTATTCTCTCTACCCTCCCATCTTGTTAACTATCCTCTGCTGGCTTTACTCTTGTCTGAATCTGCTCTAAAACCACATTGTTTCCATATGAGCATGAAAATCAGTGGTATGAGCAAATACAAGCAGCAAGCAGGCAAGCTTTGCTAGTAAGAATCCACATCTGTAAGTCTTGCAGTGGTGAGAAGACTACAAATTGGTAAGCTTTGGGTGTTTCAGAATAACACTTTTAGGAGCAGATAAGCCACCGAATTGAACGGAATAACATAGCTGCACCTGACTAGAGTCATTCAAGGACAAACTGGTGCTAGAGGAGCTGGAAATTAGCACAAGGAAGAAACATATTTAGTAATTACCCAACACTCCTCACCTTCAAAGCTCTTAATAAAATTAAATCATTAGTCCTTACAACATTCAAGGTGATGAAAGGAGAAGGAAAGAATGAGGAACTGTTTGGGATCTCAGACTTTATGTATTCACTCAACATTTTCGCTTTAATGTCTATTTAAATAAATTAACCTGAATGCTGGAGGTTATATTTGACTCTGAAATCTACTTATGAAGTACCAAGGAAGAAGCATCAGGTGAATTAGCAGCTCTCTGGTTGTCCGTTTATATTTCCCTGAGCACTTTCAGCTTAATGAACTTCCCTTTGGGCCTGCCGTCGCTGCGTGCCACTGCCATGTCCAGACACCGCTGGGAGGAGCAGAGTGACCCTCTGTCCAGAGGGAAGCAGAACAAATTGAGACCCCTGTTGG